AGGAGCCCGAGAAAGTGGCGACAGCCTCCAGTCGACTGGAGGAGAAGGGAGGAAGAGGCAGGATGCAGAAGGAGAAGAGAGGCAGGAGGCAGGAGGAGAAGGTAGGAGGAGGCAGGAGGCAGGAGGAGGGGGGAGGATGGGGGGCAGAGAAGGATGGAGACCACAATGCTCACTTCAAAACGAGATCCCAACACACAGGAGGGTTGGGAAGCAATGAAGACATCGGATGTCTGGGGAGGGATCGAGGATATCGAATTGTTTCGGCGCTCTTTGGGCTTTCCTGGGCCTCTGGAGCTGTGGGGGCCTCGGGGGCTGCTGCAACAGTGGACCGGGAAGGAGGATCGAGGATTGAGATTCGAGGATTTGGGAGACGAGGTGGTCGCCGTGCATGAGCCTCCGTCGGCCGCGCTCAATGTGCGCGGCGCGAGAGCGAGAACGGCAATTAGACGACCACCCGCCCTCTGTTGTATGAGCTGTTGGCAGATTCAAACACTCCGTGATCGTGAGCGGTGAGGTCTCATGAGAGACGACCAGCCCGCTCTAACGTCACGTCTGGTGTTGCGACGAAGGCGGGTTACTAAGAAATGAGTGGGCCTGATGATCGGTAGGAAGCAGGAGGAGGAGGAGGACCAGTGTAGCCCAAGAATCATCAACGATGTTGGAATAAACCCTCTCTCCAAACTCACTCTCCATCGGCCCCTACATCGGTTCACCTCACTGAGGGAACTGCCTCGTTGGTAGACAGCAGTTTGAAGATCCTGAAACCTGTACAAAATATCTTCGGGATTTCAATGCCACGGACTAACTTGTCTGTTGCGTCTTGACGATCCTGAATCGCGGCAGAACGCCACTCTTGGGCTTTCAAAACCGCGCATCCACATACCTGCTGCACCCTCATAATCCGGGTTCCTTCCAAACGCAATTTCTGGCACGTTGATGGTGGGACTCCGTGAAACTCTTGCCAATGTTTACAACGAGCGTGCGCGGCGCTAGGGCGAGAACCACAATTTGAAAATGAGCCGCCCCCAACCTGTGATACTTTGCACTTTTCACAACGAGTGTGCGCGGCGCTAAACCAAAACCACAATTTGGAAAGGACCCGCTCTCAATCCGTAAAACTCGTGTACATGTTTAAAACGAATGTGCGCAGCGCTAAGACGAGAATCACGTTTTGAAAACGACCCACCCTCAATATGCAAAACTCTTGTACTTTTGTAAAACGAATGTGCGCAACGTTAACGCGACAACAACATGTTGAAAACGACCCGTCCTCAATCCGTGAAGCTCTTGCACATGTTGAAAACGAATGTGCGCTGCGCTAAAGAAAGAACCACATTTTGAACATGAGCCGCCCTCAATCCGTGAAACTTTTGTTGCACTTTGTAAAAACGAATGCGCGGCGCTAAGGCGAGAACCACATCTTGAAAAGGACCCGCCCTCAATCAATAAAACTCGTGCAATGTTTTAAACGAATGTGCACAACGCTCAAGCGATAACCACATTTTGAAAACGGCCGGCCCTCAATCCGTGAAACTCTTGCATTTGTTTGAAACGAATGTACGCAACGCTGAAGCGAGAACCACATTTTGAAAAGACCTGGCCTCAATCCGTAAACATCTTGCAACCTTTTACAACGAATGTGCGCCACGCTCGGGCGATCTTCACATTTTGAAAACGGCCCGCTCTTAATCTGTGAAGCTCTAGCACTTATGTAAAACAAATTTGCGCGGCGCTGAAGCGCTAACCACACTTTGAGAACGACCAGCCCTCAACCCGTGAAGCTATTCTAACTTTTTACAACGGCTGTGCGCGGCGCCACGGCGAGAGCCACATTTTTAAGACCACCGGCCCTCCATTTGTGAAGCTGCTGTCAAATTTGAAGCTTGAGGGTCAGACAATGGTGAGGGAGTCTCAAGTGAAACGCCCGGCCCGCCCCTAAAACTGGCCTCGGGGTGCGAATCATTTAGACAGAAATGAAATGGAGGAGGAGAAGGAGGAAGAGGAGGAGAGGAAGGAGAGGGAGGAGGAGGAGGAGGAGGAGGAGATGAGGAGGAGGAGGAGGAGGGGAGGAGGAGGAGGAGGAGGGGGCGGAGGAGGAGGATTGGAGGAGGAGGCGGAGGAGGAGGAGGAGGAGGAGGATGGTAAGGAGGAGGAGGAGGATGGAGAGGAGGAAGAGGAGAAGGACAAGGAAGAGGATGAGCAACAAGTGGGGAGGGGGAAGGAGGAGGGATGACGAGGAGGAGGAGGACGAGGAGGAGGAGGGTCGAGGAGGAGGAGGAGGGGAGGAGGAGGAGGAGTAGGAGGAGGGGGTGGAAGAAAAGCGGGGGGGGGAGGGGGGGAATCGTGAGGGCGGAGGATAAGGGAACAATAGGAGGACAGGCAGGAAGAGCAGGAGCTTCGCCCCAGCGATCGGGGGGGTGGACGAACACGGGGGGGGAGCGGGTGTCTGGAGGTCTCCAGAGGTCCCCAGAAGATCATAGAGGTCATCCTCTCTCTTCGCTCGTACTCTCCACTTCCCCCTCCTCCTGATTCCTCCTCGTCCTCGATCCTTCTTCCTTATGAATGACTCCTCCTCGTGTGCGCGCAGATCCTGAGGCGCCAGAGGCAGTCACTAAGCCAAGGGCCAAGGCGCACCCTCCCAAACCCTTCACTTTTACAGTTCCACCGCAGACCTGAACAAGAGGAGAGATCCACGATGTCAGGAAGCCCAGGGACCGACGACAGTAGGTTCGTGCGGCGTCGGCGTGCGCAAAGGTTTTTGGCATCTCGCCGATCGTTCGACCTTGAGCCGATCGCGGCCCCGATCGTTCGAGATTGCATTCCCTCGGGTCCTGTATAGCGCTGTTGTGCCCCTCAGTGCTTCCGCGTCGTTCTATCATGCGGAGTTCAGTAGAGGGGCCCTGGGACACACAAATGAATACACACGAATAACAGGATTCCCCATGTTTTCCCATATTTTCTGGGTTTTTGTCTTCCCCCCACTTTCCATATTTTCCCATATTTTCCGGGGAATCGACGATTCATTGTGTCTGTGTGTTTCTTTCCCTCCTGATTCAGCCTTGAACGCCTTCGCGGGCGTCGCGAGCGAGCCATCGCCGCGCGAACCTGCCGCACTGCCGCTGACGCCTCGCCTCCTCCAGGGGGCGACGCCAGGCAGCCCCCGCCCTGCCGTCGCTCGGGCGCCCATTCCCCGTGCCCGTTTCGGCCCCGTGCGTCTCTGCTTCTCGCAGGCTGATCTCGCGATGCCCCTCGATGGCCCACGCGTCCGCGGTGAGAAACTTTGCGACCGACAGCCTCTCGCCGTCGCCATCGGCCTCCAGGGAGGCCCTCGCCGGGCTGCGGGGCCGTCGACAAAAACGACTCGGGACGAGAGGCCGGCCCCGGGGAAGGGCTCCAGACCTCTGGGGGTCGATGCTGTGAAAACATCACGACACGCGCCAGGGAAACTCGGGGATGGACAGCCCCCCCTTTAGTAAAACGTGGTTCAATGAAAACGACCCGAGGCCCAAACCTGGCGGGCGCAAGCCTGGAAACTGACGGCCACGGCGCTCGAGAACCGAAAACGGATCATCCACTCCTCGACGTGTCACTGTGGGGGGTTCTGTCCACCCCCGAGACACCGTCGTCGTCGTCGTCGTAGTCGTCGTCGTCGTCGTCGTCGTCGTCGTCGTCGTCGTCGTCGTCGTCGTTGTCGTCGTCGTCGTCGTCGTCGTCGTCGTCGTCCCCGCGGGCCGTGGAGCGCGACGAGCCGCCGGGAAGCCCCAGCGCCGATCCGAGAAATCCGCGCGGACCTCCGAGTTTTTATGGTTATGTCACTTTTTGTTCCCCTAAGCTGTGCGAGGCGGGGACTTATCCACACCCACCGCCTGGGAACCGACGCCCTGGTGCCCCAGCGGGCGGTGGACGTGGATATACTTCGGCCCCTGGGGGCCCGAATGTGTCCATGTCCACTGCCTGCCGAGGCCCCGAGAACTGACCCTCCAGGCGGTGGTCGTGTACAACCGAATGTGTCCATGTCCACTGCCTGCCGAGGCCCCGAGAACTGACCCTCCAGGCGGTGGTCGTGTACAAATTCCCGCCTCGGAAGCTGCTCGTCGGTCGGAAGAAGTGGGTGGAGGCATGGAGCAGGAGGGCCTTGGATGTAGACTGGGCTCCCGCCCGCCCCCCGAAGAGGAGGCAAGAAGAGGAACGTCTTTCGACTCTCTTGAAGCAGGACAGCGGCCCATGCAGACTGGGCTCTGGGGGTCCGAGAGCACCTGTTCTCAACAACGACCAGCGTGTGTGCAGAGCAGGGGGCAGCGCCCACAACCGCGCCGCCGTGCCCACCTGCTTCCCCGCGGGCATCGCCGCAGGCTTCTCCACGGCCAGCTCGGCGGCACCGTCGTCCGCGGCCCGCCGCAGCGCTGCCACGGCCCCCGGGCGAGGCCCCAGCTGCGCTGCGCGGAGCGCGCCGGCAGCAGCCGTGCCGACGTCCAGGCCCACGGCGCCTCCGCGCGCGAAGCCACGCGTGCGCCGCAGTCGATCGATTGCCCCGCAGGGCGTGCGACCTCGCCAGCAGCCCTGCGCGCACAGGCGCGCGAGCCGCCAGCCGCTCCCCCGCCGCGGCGTCGGCGAAGAGCGCCTCGATCTGCTCGTCCAGCTGCTTGACCTTCAAGTCGGCTGCCGTCAGCTCCTTGACGAGTCTCTCAAGGGTGTCCGCTGACTCCTCAGCCCACGCGCGCCGCTGTCGCCGCGCGGCTCCTCACCCTCAGCTGGTCTCCCTTGAAGTAGATATATCGGTATCACCTCCTCCTTGTCCTCCTGCTACTCCACCGCCTCCCTCTTCACTTCCCCTCCTCCTTCTCCTCTGGCTTGCTCCTCCTCCTCCTCCTCCTCCTCCTCCTCCTGCCGCTGCTGCTCCCCCCCCTCCCCCTCCCCCCTCCCTGCCGCGCGAGGCCTCCCGTTGTGCAGGCACTGCGCCTCCCGGCTCCCCGCCTGCACGAAGAAGGACCCCTGCGCAGCTTGGGGGGGCAGACCGGTCGGCGCCGAGCGCTGCGGTCGTCGTCGGCGTCACCGCGGTCCTGGTCGCGCCTCGTCGCAGCTCGAGGGGGCCCCGCGGCGGGCGCAGGGCATCGCAGGCAACTTCACAAGGCTTCGGCAGCCCACAGGAGGCTGTGCGGTGGGAGCGCAAGGAGCGAACCCGCACCCAAACCGCCCTTCGACGGGGAGGAGCCTGCGCTGGGCGCTGTTCTGGCCTCCTCCTCCTCCTCCTCCTCCTCCTCCGCCTCCTCCTCCTCTTGCGCCCCTCTTCTCTTCCTCCTTTTCGCCGTCCTTGTCCACTCTGTCCTCCTCACCGTTGTGTTGTTGCCCCTCCTCCTCGTCACCGTCTTCGCCATCGCTGTCCTCCTCCTTGTGCTCGTCCCCGTCCTCCCCTCCCTTCCGGCTCCCGCGAAGAGGTCGAAGAAGCACTCGGGGCTCGAGTGCGTGAATGGCGATGCCGTCGCCAATTGGCAGTGGTGTCTTCCTCCCTGTCGCCTCCTCCTCCGTCTCCTCCTCCTCCTCCTCCTCCTCCTCCTCCTCCCGCTCCTCCTCCTCCTCCTCCTCCTCCTCCTCCTCCTCCTCCTCCTCCTCCTCCTCCTCCTCCTCCTCCTCCTCCTCTCCTCCTCCTCCTCCTCCTCCCTCCTCCTCCTCCTCCTCCTCCTCCTCCTCCTCCTCCTCCTCCTCTCCTCCTCCCCCTCCCCCTTCACCTCTCCGCCCCCTCCCCCTCCCCCCCCCCCTCTCCCTCTCCCTCCCCCTCCTCCTCCTCCTCCGCCTTCCCCCCCTCCTCTTCCTTCTTCTCCTCCTCCTCCTCCTCCTTTTCCTCCTCCCCCTCCTCCTCCTCCTCCTCCTCCTCCTCCTCCTCCTCCATTCCTTCTCCTTCTGCATAGCTTCTCCCTGTCGCGCCCCGAAGCGAATTTTTAGGGCGGGCCGGGCGTTTCTCCCGAGACTTCTTCAACATTTATGGCCCTGAAGATTAAACCTTATCAACAATCTCACCAATGGGGGGGCGGGTGGTTTTCAAAATGTGGCTTCGCCTTAGCGCCGCGCACATTCAAGATTTAAAGATAATAGTTTCACGGATTGAGGGCGGGCCGTTTTCAACATGTGGCTCTCGACTCAGCGCCGCGTGCATTCGTTGTAAAAACTGCCAGGGCTTCACGGATTGAGGGCGGCGCCTTTTCAACATGAGGCTCTCGCCTTCGCGCGGCACACACTCGTTTAAAACCAATTGCAAAAGTTTCACATATTCCCGTGATCAGCGTACTAAACATGGTGTTCTGGAAGGACTCGGGATTGAAGGTGCAACAGTTACGTTGATTCGCGGTGTTGAAGCGCCAAGAATGGCGTTCTGGTGCGATTCAGGATTGTCAAGATGCATCAGTCAGGTTGATCCGTGTCGTCGGAATCCCGAAAACAATGTTTTGGCATGCTTCAGGGTCTTCAAACGGTTGCCTTCCAACGTCCCAGTTCCCCCAGTGGGACATGAACCGATGTATGGGGCCTCAGAAACAGAAGCTTGGAGGGAGGGTTGATTCCAACATCGCTGATGACTCTTAGGTTTGCACTGGTCCTCCTCCTCCTCCTCCTCCTCCTCCTCCTCCTCCTCCCCCTTTCCCTCTCCCTCCTCCTCCCCCCCCCCCTCGACCTCCACCTCCTCCCCCCATCCTCCTCCTCCTCTTCCTCCTCCTCCTCCTCCTCCTCCTCCTCCTCCTCCTCCTCCTCCCCCTCCTCCTCCTCCTCTCTCCTCTCCTCCTCCTCCTCCCTCCGCCTCCTCCTCCTCCTCCCTCCCTCCTCCTCCTCCTCCTCCTCCTCCTCCTCCTCCTCGTCCTCCTCCTCCTCCTCCTCCTCCTCCTCCTCCTCCTCCTCCTCCTCCTCCTCCTCCTCCTCCCCTTCTCCTCCTCCCCTCTCTTTCTCTCTCCTCCCCTCTCTTCTCCTCCTCCTCCTCCTCCTCCTCCTCCTCCTCCTCCTCCTCCTCCTCCTCCTCCTCCTTCTCCTCCTCTCCTCCGCCTGCTGCTCCTCCCCTCCTCCTCCTCGTCCTCCTCCTCCATCCCTCCTCCATTGCCATCCTCCTCTCCCTCCTCCTCCTTCTCCTCCTCCTCCGCCTCCTCCTCCTCCTCCCTCCGCCTCCTCCTCCTCCTCCTCCTTCTCCTCCTTCTCCGTCTCCTCCTCCTCCCCGTGCCCGTCCTCTGCCTCTGGCCTCGTGCGCCCCGTCGTGCCCCCCCCCTCTTCCGCCCTCCTCTGGGCCCTCCGCCGTCCCCCTCCTTGGAAGAAGTCCCAGCAAAGCTCCTTTGGGCGCGAGTGGTGCAGAAGACGCTTCCTGCTCCAGCCTGCCCCTTCTTCCCCGTCGGGGAGGGGTCTACAGTCGGGGGCGCGCAAACATGGATTAGCAATCCATGGGTTTGGCGAGCGGTCGCCAAATCCATGGATCGGGGGAGGTGCCCTCCCCAAAATGCGGCCGGTGCCGCCTCGCTCGGCGTCGGAAATCCGCGATTCCCCATGGAAACGGGACTCGTCGCTAATCCACGTCCCCTTGATCCATGCTTGCGATCGCCTGGTACAGTCAACCCGTGGAATAAGGGCGCGCGAGAAGGATGCGAGGGCCTTGGAGGGCCGTGCCAGCTGGGAGCGGCCAGCGAAAGCGGCCAAGGAGGGGCCGAAGGGGAGGGGTGCAACGGTACCCTTGGAAAGTCGCTCATCCTTACTGGGCGGGCTGACTGGCTCCCTCCCCCTACGTGCCCCTGCCCCTGGACCTGGACGGGGGTGTCCGCGACCGACTGGTGCGTCCAGGACAGCCTCGTCGCCCCCCTCCGCCCTCCTCCCCGCCCTCCTTGTCCCCTCCTCCATCCCACTCCCAATCAATAACTCCTCTCTGTGCAATGGGCTCTCGTTCTGTTTTGGCGCTGCGCGCATTCGATCCAAAAGATGGAGGATGGTTCCTTTACAGAAGTGGGCTCTCGCCTCAGCGCCGCGCAAATTCGTCCAGAAGGCTTGAACCATTTACAATAATGCGCGACTGCAAGAAGGAGCTCTTGCTTTAACGCCGCCAGCACTCGCCTTCAGCACTTGCAACAGTCACAGATATTGTGGGTCGCTCCTTTTTCAAATCGGGGCTGTAGCTTAAGACTTCCTTGTAGTTCGCTCGAGACTTCTCCAGTTTTCGAGACTAGAAGCTGGGACACGCAATAGCTGCATGGATGGATAAGGATTCCTTTTCAGAACGGGGCTTTCGCTTAAGACGCCCTCGACGAGCATGGTTGTGAGTGGGAGCCTGTGCAAGAGCTGCACAGATGGGGAGCCGCCGAGAACCCACAAACAACGGCCGAACACCTCGAACCTCGAACCCGAGACCTCCCCCTTCGCTCGCCGCCGAGCAAGCCAGCAGGGCTCGCCGCCGACGAACCGTGCGGTGGCCCCGAGTCCCCACCGGCTCAACACGCTGTGTTTAGGTCGGGCTTGTCCCCCTACAGGGGGATGTTGGGTAACAAAAATAGAAGTGCCCCAAACATACTCCCAAATGGTGAAGAATGCTTCGAAAGTCGTCCGCAGAACATTTTTTCGACTATTTTTGAATTTTCCTCATGTGTTGAGCAAGGACCGACCGTCCCGGCACTCCTATAGTCCTACCACGAATTTTTCGTAGAACCCCAACATGTTCCAATAACAAAAGCATTGCTCTTAAACCACTAACCCGATGTGTTCAAACAAGACAGTCCCAGTCAGACATGTTCTAAGAACATTGCGTGTAACCACAAAAGGTTCTTAGAACATTGTTTGGTAGGACTATAGGCACGCCAAGACGCTTCGCCACTGCTTGAATGTGGAGGGACAGGCCCGACTTGATGCCGTGTGGTCACCACGCCGCGTGGGGACCCGACGGCCCGCCCCGCGCGGACCGTGCCCGGGGGGAGGTGGAGGAGGAGGAGGAGGAGGAGGAGGAGGAGGAGGAGAGGAGGAGGAGGAGGAGGAGGAGGAGGAGGAGGGAGGAGGAGGAGGAGGAGGAGGAGGAGGAGGAGGAGGAGGAGGAGGAGGAGGAGGAGGAGGAGGAGGAGGAGGAGGAGGAGGAGGAGGAGGAGGAGGAGGAGGAGAAGGAGGAGGAGGAGGAGGAGGAGGAGGAGGAGGAGGAGGAGGAGGAGGAGGAGGAGGAGAGCAGGGGGAGGAGGAGGGGGAGGAGGGGGAGGGGAATGGGGAGGGGGGGAGGAGGAGGAGGAGGAGGAGAGGAGGAGGAGGAGGAGGAGGAGGAGAGGAGGAGGAGGAGGAGGAGGAGGAGGAGGAGGAGGAGGGAGGAGGAGGAGGAGGAGGAGGAGAGGAGGAGGAGGAGGAGGAGGAGGAGGAAGAGGAGGATGGGGAAGCGGAAGGGGAGTGTGGGGCCTCGACGGCCCGCCCCGCGCGGACCGTGCCCGGGGGGGGGGGGGGGGCGCGGCCGCGGTCCTCCTCCGTGGGGTCCTTGGAGACCTGGGCGCGGGCGGGGCGGGCAGGGCCCCCGCCTCGGCGGCGAGGGCCCGGGCGTCGCAGACGTCCCAGCGCGGTGTGACGACGTCGCGACGGGAAACGTCACGCCACTGGCCATCGCTCGGACGTCCATGCCCTGCGTTTTTTTCAGTTTCGTGCGGGTTCTTTCGCAGGATGAGCCAGGATGTTCCTCAATGGTCCCCGCCGAGAAGAGGTGCCCACGTCCGAACGATACCAAGTTCACGCCACTTTCGGCCTCTGGAGGCCCTCGCCACGCCTCGGGACCCTTTGAGGGTGGATGTGGGGGTCGGGCGCAGGGTCCCAGCCATGGTGTTTCTACGGGCCACGCATGGGCGATGCATCCTCGATTGCTGTGTTCGGAGCGGGAACCATGAAGCTCCCCGCTTGCACCCAATCGCGAGACTTGAGGGTCGACGAAGCAAAGAGTCACCCTCGAAAAACGACTCGGGGCTTTTTTTTTTTTTTGTTCTCTCTCTTCGGGGCAGGCCAGGGAAACTTCTCAGAAGCCCTG